GCAACAGCTCCTACGCTCTGATCAGATTTTTCGAACTTACTACACCAAGGGGTATATTTTTGTGTTGTTCTAATAATCCCGACAATAACAAGTTAAGTTACATGTGTCTTCGTGACTGTCATTGGGATAGAAATTCCTTAGGGCTCACAATCTGGGTATTCGATACCTTCTTCGAAGCTACCACTGACACGGGCATTCATTTCTTATTCTATTCCAAGCTCTACACTCTCAATGATCTCTGCTATGAACTGGAAGCCTTTAAACGTGAATAATAACCTGTCTATCAAAAGGGCCACGCTGAACGGCACAATGGATGGTCCAATTCATGGTACTCATCACCAAACTATTGAGATAATACTTCTCTGGCCTAGAGGAAAAGAAGGTCATCGTTGTATCACATCTATCAAGGGCATATCACCTTTTCATCTCCACACAGTTTGAGTTACTTAGTCGATGCTCTTCTGTTTTCTTTTTCTGAGTAGAGATGCACTAATACTCAAGGTAGATTGGTGCAATCGGCTCAATCTAATACGAGGTTTCTCGAGATTCAACTCAACTTCGCCACTGGAAATCACGAAGTATAAAAGTTTTGACTTCTCCCGTCCATACAAATAGCCAAATACTAACACGCAGTTCTCTTCTATGATGTCTTGAATGATTTTGAGAGTCGATAATTCTACTCAATCAAATGTGCAACTTACGGGTCCGAAATATTGCAACTCAAAAGGTTGATTGTCCTATGCTTGCCACATTTTGATAATTTTGGTTTGTTCCTGCATTTTGACAATAGTTGGGAGGCATGAATTCTCTTGTTACATACTAGGATCATTTTATGATCACACCAAAGAATGGTTGACATAGATACTTGAGTTTTATCTTACTGCAGGTGCAGAGCAACGTTCCAATTGTCTGTTTATGCCCATAGACTATTATCCCACTCATGTACGCATCGTTGTCCACATCGGGACTATGTACGTAGCCCGACACAGTTTTGAACATGCAATTGCGGGGAAGCTGAAGATTCGGATAATCTCTCGGACCTGCAATGCTACAACGAGTCCCGTAAAACCACTTGCTGATTCGCTCAATCCATCGTTGTTTGCAAATTGTATTCTTATCGTGAGCTCCCGACATTTCCAAATAGGCATATAAGATGTCGATCAATATCTGACTATATCTATTTCAACAAAATAACCTGAAAGAAAGGTCGGCCACAAATTTTCAAGGCCATTTTTATTTCAACATTGAGCATTCTCGATTCTAGACAATGTCAATGTTTACCTCATCTTTGAAACACCTGCTCCTTGCTGGAGTGGCGTTATACGATGTCTCTGCCATTGCTTCAGTGCTTCAGCCTACTCCCCCAATGGGTATGAAAATTCCTAATGCAGCAATTCTTATGGTAATAGCTAACTGGGTTTAGGCTTCAATAATTGGTCAGCATTTATGTGTGGCCTTAACGAATCGCTATTTGTTGAGACAGCCCAGGCAATGGTGGAGAAAGGCCTACTTGCAGCGGGTTACAATCGACTTAATCTAGATGACTGTTGGAGTCAAGGCGGTCGGGAAACGAACGGCAGTCTCTTATGGAACACCGAGAAGTTTCCACGCGGCCTTCCATGGTTGACCGGCTATTTGAAAAGCCTGGGGTTTAATTCTGGAATCTACACCGATGCTGGAATCAATTCTTGTGGTGGGTTTCCAGGTTCGTATGGGTATGAGGAACTTGATGCTCGAGCTTTTGCCTCGTGGGGTTTTGATTATCTCAAGGTTGATGGCTGCAACATGCCTGTAGCAACCGAGCAAGAATATGAGCGTGTTTATGGACATTGGCATGGCGTCTTAAGTGCATTGGAGAGCCCTCTCATCTTTTCAGAGTCTGCCCCGGCATACTTTGCAGAGCAGGATAATCTAACCGATTGGTATACTGTGATGGACTGGGTTCCGAAATACGGGCAGCTTGCTCGTCACTCGCGTGATACACTCGTCTGGAACTCAACTTCATATTGGCCCGACATCACTGGATGGGATTCTATCTTATTCAACTATGGACAGGAAGTAAGATTAGCGAGATATCAGAAGCCTGGGTACTTCAACGATCCAGATTTCTTGATTGCTGATCACTTCGATTTATCGCTCAATGAAAAGAGGTCACATTTCGCTATCTGGGCCTCACTATCAGCTCCTCTTATTATCAGTGCTTATATTCCGGCATTCAGCGCAGATGAGGTTGCTTATCTCACGAATAAAGATCTAATTGCTGTAAACCAAGATCCATTGGCATTACAGGCTACACTTGTCAGCCAAGATGGTACATGGGATGTTTTGACCAAAGATCTGGCAAATGGGGACCGGCTTCTCACTGTTATCAATCGAGGCAATCTCACTGCTAGCTACAAAGTACCATTTCAAAGGATTGGTATCTCTGCATCAGCAGTCACAGTCAAAGAACTCTGGACTGGCAAAGTCTCACCCACATCTGATGTAGTCACAGCTGCCAATGTGCCTTCGCACGGTACTGCAGTATATCGTATTTCTGCTGGAAATGGGAATCTAAATGTTATACCTACTGGTATGATCTTCAACACAGCATCACTGAATATTCTTACCTACTCCCGTCAAGGCCTAGCGTGGGCAGCCTCTATCGGATCGGACGAGCAAGTGTGGCAAACGGGTGAGGATGGTACTATCAAGGGAATTTTTGATACTTCTAAGTGTCTAACGGATCTTGGAGGAGGAAAGATATCACTAATTGCATGTTCTGGCAAAAATAATCAGAGATGGGAGTACCATGTTACTGGAAATCTCGTAAGCCTCAGTACTGGGTCGTGTTTGGCTGAGGCTAAGGGAAAGGTTGTGACGGCGAAATGTCAGTATGAAACCAACGGGCAAGTGTTTGGTTTGCCCAGTGGAATTGATGTTATCGGGCAATAAATGCATTGGCACTTTTGGAGAGTTTTATTTCCTAAGATCATTAATTCACTCTACCTTGTGTACTAAGAGCATATCAATATGACTCGGATAGGAAAAACAACACTTGATATGTATATAGCTATAATTTCATATGCAAGTAAGCTGCCGAAATAGCTTCTCTTATCTTTTCTGATTACAAGACTGTTTTCTCTGCATTTATCAATCATAAAATAACACATTCAGCTTCTCTTTCAGCTTGAGAAATACGAGAATGTGCATGCGCAAAATTAGCAACTTCTGCTTCTGCTACGTTACAACACAATACCCCGCCAAAAACAGCCCCGCATCAAAATGTTGGACCGACGGATGTTCAACTCCGATATTATCCCGTCATATCCCAACTTTCAGTATCATCACCTGATATGGCATATTCATCACTTAAAACATGGCACTTGATCATATAACACTTTGCTTGTCCCTGAACCTGCGTGCCTCTTTCTGAACAATAATATCAAGCAAAATGCCGAAACAAAAGTCAAAACTCCTTGAATCTCTCGAGCAAGATGGCTTCGTTCTCATCCCCTCTCTTCTGAGTCAAGCAGAGATTGATTCTCTCCGTATCGAAGCGAAAAAAACTGTCGACCTTGCTCGCTCTGGCTCATGGCCATACGTTCGAACACTTCCCAAGCAATTTCCACCCTGGAACGTAGGAGAAGGAGAGTCACCTGCGAAAGATGGTATCTGGGGTGTTCAATCACTCATGAATCCCAAACTTGCAACCTCATCTTCATTTATAAAGATCTACTTCTCGGATAAGATGTTGGGTGTAGTGAAAGAGCTTTTGCAATGTGAGGACGAAGATTTAGTCATGGAACTATTTAATTTATTGATTCGTCCTGATCGCGACTTCGAGCTTCGTTGGCACCGAGATGATATCCCATCTTCTGCTACGGCTGAAGAGGAACTCACAAGACTAGCGGAGCCTGCATGGCATGCGCAATGGAATATGGCATTGTATGATGATTCTTCATTGATTGTGGTTCCCAAGTCTCACAAGAGGGCGAGGACAGCCGCAGAGAGAGATATGAGTGAATATGAGACGGGAGTACAGGGCGAGATCAGGGTAGAGATGAAAGCGGGAGATGTGGTGTTTTATGACAACAACATTTTGCATAGAGGAAAGTATGAGAGTGGTAGGGAAAGGGCAACACTACACGGGAGCGTAGGTCATCGGAATGGCAAGGGAGTGAGAGCCAGGAATGTACTACAACATGGATTGAGGGAGGTGAGTTGAAAACATTCTACCCTTTGAAGTGAATAGCTATTAAGAGACACTGCTGATATCATTGATAAATTCCAGTGGGTTGGTGATATTGATCTTAGTGTACTCACTGAAGAAGAGAAAAAGAGAGCGGAGGGAATGAGGAAGAGATTATTGGGCATGGCTGAAGAGAGTGGTGAAGTGGGCTATTCATTAGATGGATGAGGTTGAATAATGAATTAGAATCGATGACAGGCGACAGGCATTGGAAGGCTAAATATCTTTGGATCTTGGTGAATTCTTTATTGGCAGTTTTCCTATACTGTTGAATCATAGAAGTTGGTAGTGAACTATAGTTACTAGAAACTTTCCAAGAAACTGTTTTATCCGTATTCTGTCGTTCGCAACTTGGTAAAGTTTACTGGAGCCCTATACCGCTCGCTTGCCGTAGCTTCCCGAGGCGTTTATCCTCGTAAGTGAAATCGTCAGTCTTAAATCAGTCCCTTTCTTTAGCATCCATGATATCAAAACTCTAATATCGACTCTTTTCTCCGCAGAAACTCCCCGTGTTCATCAATATCTACAAGTCGCCAAATTTCACCAAAATATCTCTCCATATTCAAACACTTTGCAGAGTTTGAAAGTAAATCAATCGCGACCTCAGTCTTTTCTCATACATATCCCAAAACAGGGATCCAACAGAAGTCCACAAAAGCGGTAAGCTATCATCTGAACCACTTAGTACAAGCAATTGTCACTGACAAACAACAGTGGATTGCATGAGCTTTGCCATCTCTTCCTTTCTCAGATTTTCGATACGGAAATCATGGATCGACAAGCAAGAATAAATGAAGCCAAGCAGGAAGTCGACGCCATATTCGAAGGCTTAGATGACAGCGATGCGGCTGACATAATTGAGATCTGCCAGAATGCAATCGATACTATCGAGATGAGACGTGCAAAGAAACTCAGAGTCTTTGAAGAATTCTACAAGCCCCTGTCTGTCAGCGATACCGATGAAAACAGCTCTGTTGAAACCACACAAAAAATCACCCACAAGTACTTTCAGCTTTACCAGGCACTCCCCGCGTTGGAGAAATTGCGAGATTTGGGGAAGAATTCTTTGTCACTCTGTTTAAAAACTTCTCACTAACTTGGAACAGATCAGGCAAGAAAAAACACAAAGAATGAGTTGAACTTTCAGGTAATGATTGCTGAACGAAAGGAACAACTCGAAGACTTGAAGAACGAAAAGCAGATCCAGGACAAAAACTTATTTGGGGCAGAACCGGAAATTGATAACAATCATACTGGAGTCTATTTCTCGGGACATGTTGACGGGGACTTCAGTAGTTCTGAAAATGTAGTGAACAAGAAATAGGAGTCTCCGCATATGAAATATGGTCATGATTAGGTGATTTAAAGGTGATGGGCTAGGCACAAGGAGAAACACCGAGCAAGCACTCTGCTCAACTAAAGCATTGATTGTTCTCAATAGGCACCGGAATAAGGATAAATCAGAGGGCTAGTTCTGAATAAGAACAAGAAAAGAACTATTACCATCAATGACCCATATCGCTATGCGTATGACGCTGAATTTGATTAAATTGTAGTGAAGTGATGTCATGGAAGCTGTAGATGATTTGGGCTGATGATTAAAGAGCTCTGCAAGGATGGGATATCATAATCTATGGAAGATCTGTGTTGTTATAGCGTAAACCCCGGAAACATCAGATTTGTCTTCATTACACCTGAAGTGATGTGCTTGGCTTTGGTACAATGCGTATTGTCAATTCTGCGAAGGCCAATTAAACAAGAAGTGACGAGTGTCTCCCGAGTAGTCAAGATATGGTAGAAATAACCAAAGTAGCCCACTATGGAGTTCAATTATTCACGTTTACGGAACGACAGCTTATTCTTCTCTTCTTGTTGAAAAGCACTCTAAGATACTGCGTCGCAGTCTCATCTCAGGTCTAGTGCCATTAATTCATACACAAGCGGTACTGATATACAAACGAATAAGGAAGATTCAAGATTTAGAGCATGATAGACTCTGAATTTCAGTTTCTATTCATCAAGAGACAAGTTTTCCCTAGAGGAATTGTTAGACCGACAGAAACTTTGACACTTAGATGGAGAAGAAGCACATGAAAAGGTCTTCGTCTTATTTTCTGTGTGAGCGGTCAAGTGCCTGGCTAGAGCCCGGAAAACGGCGACGTTGATCAAGATGAGCAATGGTAGTTTTCGATAAATGTACGTACTCTCTCCATTCCTTCTAGACTCTCACCGACAGTATCCGAAATATCAAGGCAGAGTGAAGATGCTAAGGAGATGTACTGCCAGTGACCTAGAGCCAAGACTCTTCACTTTCTCATAGGAAAGAGTGAAGGCAAGAAATAGGAGCACTGGAAGGCCCTCTGCATTACATCAAACATAAAATGTGAATGCTGATCCCACTTCAGGAACCAATTTCGAGCATTTGGTGCACATGATTGTTTACAACTCACAAGTCATCTCAAAACTATTGCAGAATCAGGAAAGGGGGAACTGAAGGCCCTTGAAAATGAAAAAAGCGGAGAACAGCATCAGCTAATGCTAGGTGTATGGGCATTGCATCAATGAGGAATAGAAGAGCAAGTCTACTATCTAGCAGGTTCTAGATTTTTACATGATCCATATCAATCTCAAGAGACCATCTTTATCTTCCTCTACTGTACAAGCAGGGACTGGAAGCGCAGAACAACTATCTTCCTTATATTTTGTGCTCCGCATACCATCTCGCAAGCAGAAATGCTTTGCTCTCCAGATCTTCACCACTCTTATCTTCCTGCCATTCTGGTCCAATTATATAACCATAAAAGGGACTGACTGAGCCTCATGGTCTAAAAATGGACACCGGAGATATCGAATATCCGTCAAAGTTACTTTTCAAAGGAGCCTCTTGATCCTCAGAGAGGAAAAAGAATCTTCCAGACGCCAAATCCGTGGTCGAAGATTACCTTCCTATCCTATCAATGTAGCTCGTTTTCTATTCTGAACTCAGGACATCGTTCCTCCCATTTTTATTCCCTGTCTAGCTATGTTGCTGTGCCTCTGACCTGGCTCAAGATCCAACCAAAATAAGCCAAAAGTGAAGGATAAAAGTTGCTGACTCGAGTTTACAGATCCTGCAATTTCCTATGGGGGCCAGAGCCTTCGTGTGTTGTAGCCAGAAATCGTCTACATGATGGGATCAGCACCGAACACACCAGTTGGTTTTGAAGATACGGACCAAATCTCTAGAAGAGTACGCCGAGTCAGCCCGAAATCGGTTCCGAGATCCCACTTTACTTGCACCGGTACCTTTATCAAATTGTCAAAATTGTGACATATCGGCAGTTCAAACACAGTCAGCTTAATTCGGGACTTTCATAGTCGATGCCGGATATGCAGAACAACCTATCCGCATGTACTAATACTCATGTAAAAGACAACAGTTGGAATCTGTAGATTTGACATCTATAGATTCTGATAACAGTTGGTGGTCTGCGATCATTAATCAAAGGTTGACGCGTCAAAAAGAAATAACGGATCAGGGGGCAACAGAGATCTCTGCATCAACCATATCAATTGAGCCTCAGACATTGAATATATGTAAGATAAATCATTTACTACAAACCAATATTCCAATTACGGCGAATGCAATGGCAGGCTACGTGTGAATTACGCATCTTCATCACACCATACCACACCCACCAACATGTTAAATCTTTTGCCGCTTAGAGGAGCAGAGCCTCATTTGCGAGATTGAATGATTTGGAATGCGACAAGGAACGAATCCCATCCAAATACTTAGCTGATATACCACGGTATGCACATGCAACCTAAGCTGGCTCGAGGCTGGACACCCCGCACGCCCGCAATTGCAAATTGAGCAACCAAGCAAGTATGGAAATTATGGGAAATCAATACTTCGCATGCACGATGAATCACTACTCAGGCCGAGAACCACGGAGCCGTCTGTCAAAATCTTTTGGGTCCGCCAGTGTGAAGATCTTTACTTCAATAGTGTCTGTTAAAAGACACCAAATGTCTGCACGTATGCACTGCGCCCTTCCAATCCAAGCCATGCCTTGACTTACCTGAATGCTGGGTAGATTTCAATCATTTGACCAACGGGGCATACGAACATGCCATACGTATGTGCCTCGAATCGGATACGGAAAAAGCTCCTTAAAGCCGGGGAAAGGAGAAAAGGTATAATATTGACCCGAGCCCGACCGATCGCGAGCTAGATGTGTGATGATATCTCTCCCATTTGATTGGCACTGAGAAGGCGCATTTGACGAGTTTGAAGATTGATGGGAGCCTAGTATGATTCACAAACAAGGTGTTTCGTTCGTACGAATAATTATCCACTAGCCTTTTACATATATGCATCCACATGGCAATTTGGGCTTGCCGAAACATCGGGTCGAATTGATCATTGGTAGAATTGTCTCAATAAAACTTTTCCCACTCGGATGTAGATTAACCTGCTTGTTCATGGGAGATAAATTGGCAATCCAAGTTTGTGAAGAGAAATGTCATTTGATGTGCTTGAGATATTGGTAGGCTTGGTATAATGGGTAAATGTGCTGCAGGGATTGAACATTGGTACTTGGCATTGGTGGAGATATCCAGGAAAGGAGTTACAGTATCTCGAATCTCGATGTTAAGGAATATTTGGAAGATTTACCGCGGAAACTTATACAGTCTTCTAATTGTCTTGACTCGAGCTTGTGCTTCGGATCCGAGTCTCAATCGGAAATCCGCAAAGAGATAGAGGTATAGATAGAGGGGAGCTCGGTTACAGACTGAGCTCCCTAAGTCCCCTCATTCCAATGGGGTTTTTCGTGCGTCTAACTCGAACGAAACCCCATTAAAGGGCGAGTATCCACTACAACTATTTTAACTGATTTTTCCACTTTCCTCTATTTCACACGTACGTGAAAGGTCACAGACTCACAGGAAGCGAATGCGCAGCCGTTTCGCAATGCTGTATGGTCCAGAATTTAATTGACTTCATAGTGTGTAAAGAAATCCCTTCCCCTCGTTTATTAAAGCCTCATTTGCGAGATACGACTTACCGAATTGGGAGCGTATTCAAGCTATCTATCCATCCATCTATCTATCTATGCTATGCAGGGCTCTGGCAGGGATGTTGTGAATCTGGCCCCAAGTGAAATTCTGCAACCACATGGCTTGCCTGTCTTTCACATGGTATTTCTAGCGATGGAGATAAGATGTTATGTACATTGTAACCCCCGTAGTTGACGGAGAAATACCCTCAACCTTCAACCTACGGAGTATGAAGCATACCGTAAGTAGGCTGCCGGGGGGAAATAAATGCGAAATTCGGTGAAGAAGAATTCAATAATTGGAGAACCAGTTCCCCAATCGTTGGTTTCGAGCGAGCGACCAAGACGGGCCATCCAATGTATTGCTGATATCATTCATGCGGCAAGACTCCTCCGCACGAGGAAAAGGGAACTCCGTTGCCTGTATTCCGCATCTGTTCAAAAGGAATAAACACTAATACATCCGTCAGTTCCATACTCCACAATGTGGACGGATCAACCGTAAATTGTCAATTCCTTCGTCTGTTTCATTGCGGCGCATAAAGTCGCTATGTAACCTACATATGTGAACCATCACGAGTCAATATTGCAATATAATATGGAAACGGAGGACGGACGCTGAATCGCTGATTAATAAGTTCCGTTCGAGCCCTAGAAAATCGCCAAACGATCCACTCTCCCCACTGTGACTCCTATCATTGTCTGCTGCCGCAACGGATTCTCCCGTGATGATATGAGGGCTCGAAGTGACGATGAGTGAATTTCGGGATGCATAGGGTCCTATAGTACGTACTTTGTACTATGGAGTGGAGTTTTACCGAAGGTGGAATTCCATGCCTAACTTCCCCGGCTAGTAGCCGTGGATCGTTCACAGAGGGTCTCCATAGGTGAGCGCTTGTAAGTAGGTTTTGACTTTCATCGATCGCAGATCAGTATGTGTTTGAATGCCTAAAAATAAATGTGCAGTAAAGCACTTACCTACTGTGCTCGCCAGTAGTCAGATGAAGTTCGTTAGACAATGATGATTGCTTGCGATGACGACCCGCGAAAACTATTGCGGAGACACAACTTCCTGGAGATCAAGTTTGGAAGTATTGGAGTATCGATGAAGAAAGGAATCAGAACCTATATCCAGGGAGTAGATCTTCTCCTCGTTACAACAAGTATATCGCTTTCCATTGGCCCAATATACGATGTTCCCCATTATGATCTTTTCAAGGATACAATTTCGGAAATCTTGTTGAAATACAACCGAATAGAGTATATGATTTTCTAACCACGA